ATACTTACTCATACTTTCTAAATGATAATGTAATTTGACGTCAAGGTACAGACGCTCTTCCTCGCGTCTGGCATGCCTCCAAAGCGTGGCCTATATTGCATTCACTGCATCTTCATTCGGTCTGTAGATTGTTTGAGAGAGAGAAGTATCTCAATTGAATCAATAATTGACCTGATGTATTCAGTCAATCGCAATTCAGACTGTCGTCTCAAACTGCGGAATGTCACTGCTTAAAGTTCGAACCCATCAATGGAGGGGGGGAACCGGTGGAGCGGCTGCACCCGAAGGGGAAATTTTTTTCACGCCGGTTTTTCGTCACCCGTGCCGAGCGGACGGTGCGCCGCGACCTTTTCAACCTTTTGAACGTCTCCCAACCTCATCCCGAACTCGGCTTCGAAAACCTGACTCATCCTCCGTCTTCTATTCACCAAGGTGCGCCAGATTACTGTTTACAAGGCTCTAACTCACGTTGCTCACATCTCCCGACTTTGGTTGACCTCTCCGTCCCTTGTCGCGCTATAACAACTCGACTGCCCCTCCATTGAACCCCTCCAAAGCCGACAATTTCAACCCCTCCACCCCACATTCACTCACCTCATTCACACGGCTCTCACACAATGGCGACTGCTAGCGTCACATCCGTCGACCTCACCGGCCTTAAGAAAATCGGCCAGGGCAAGGTTCGCGATGTCTTCGAGGTCGACGACAAGACGCTCCTCTTCGTCGCCTCCGACCGCGTCTCGGCTTTTGATGTCGTCATGAAGAACGGCATCCCTGACAAGGGCGCCATCCTCACCCACGCCTCTGTAAGGCTCATTCTCTCATTCCGCACCACTCACTCACTCACTCACCCACTCACTCACTCAAATCCTCTCACTCTTCACAACCCCTTCTCATTCTATATCCTCGAATATTAGATCATGTGAGAAGTCATCTTTACTAATGCGACTGCTCAACGGCACATAGGCCCACTGGTTCAAGGTTCTCACCGACCGAGTCCCGGGCCTCAAGACCCACTTCATCACCCTCGACCCCCCGGCCGGCCTGCCCGCCGCCGACGCCGCTCTCATCAAGAACCGCGCCATGCAGGTCCGCCGCCTCAAGGTCATTCCCCTCGAGGCCATCGGTATGTCTCAACCCCATGCTTCTCATACTAAACCTTCTCGTGATTGTAAATACTGACCGTAACCCCAACAAGTCCGCGGCTACCTCACCGGCTCCGCCTGGAATGAATACAAGTCAAAGGGCACCGTCCACGGCATCCCCGTCCCCGCCGGCATGCAACAATCCCAAGCCTTCGCCACGCCCCTCTACACCCCCTCCACAAAGGCAGAACAGGGCGAGCACGACGAGAACATCCACCCGGACGAGGCCGTCAAGCTCGTCGGAGCCAAGTACGCCAACCGCGTCGAGGAGCTCGCCCTCCAGCTCTACGCCGCGGCGCGCAACTACGCCGCCGAGCGCGGCATCATCCTCGCCGACACCAAGTTCGAGTTCGGCGTCGACCCGGACACGGACGAGGTCGTGCTCGTGGACGAGGTGCTCACGCCCGACAGCAGTCGGTACTGGCCTGCTGCTGGTTACGCTGTCGGCCGCGACCAGGAGAGCTTCGATAAGCAGTTTATTCGCAACTGGTTGATTGAGCAGGGGCTCAAGGGGAAGGAGGGTGTCGCGCTGCCGGAGGATGTGTGCAAGGCTACGGCGGAGAAGTATAAGGATGTGTTTGTCAAGTTGGTGGGGAAGAGCTTTGATGAGGTTGTTGCGTGAGGGGAGTGCTGAGGGGATGGACAGTCGTGTTTACTATCAGTCTTTTGCTATATTACAGTCTCTGGAATTGCTACCTAGAGTCAAAAAGAACTGGGAATGGCATAAGAATAGAAAAGAAGTTCTTTTGATGTGTGTGATCGTGAGGTAGTAACGCTCGCTCGATTGTCGGAAAAGCGTATAGTACAGAATGAACATCCCGAATGAGCTATAATACAACGTAATTGCAACCTTAAAGCGGCCGCCAGTAGTGAGAAATCACCAATTCCCTCCCGTCTTTTCTTCCAAACTTTTCTCAAGATCGTGCGCCGGGCATGAAGTGCGAATGGGGCTCGACGAGTTGCTCGAAATGTCCAACATCTCTTTGGCATCCTCAAAAACCAGAAGATCTGATGAGCTGTCCTCTTCAGACTCGATTCCATAATCCAAAGGAATCAGCAGGCCCGACTCCATGAGCTCATCAATGCTTCCATGGGCTTTGGCTTCCATCTTCAGCACCGATAGCAACTCATCAAAGGCTACGCTCAGCTCATCTGACGAGTCATTACGCCCATCAATGACTTCCTTATAGTGATCCAGAATATACGTTTTGTCAGGATAGCTTCGAAGATGCTCGGCTGCCGTTAAGAGAAGTATTGTTTCGACGTCGGCATATCTAGCGACTGTCTCCAAGAGGTTGGGTCCCTTCAGTCTTGGGCACTCGTTGTAGTCGAACCATCTCTCGAGAAGGAGTTTCAGAACGCTATGGTTGTTGTATTGAATTGCTGCAGTTAGGGGTGTTTGGCCAGCTTTCGAAGTCGCGTTGATGTCGGCTCCGTATTCCAGGAGAAGCATTGCATGAGCGGCGCTGTTTCCCCTCGCAACATGCAGGAGTGGTGTGACGCCATCCACACCGCTCGCTTCAATTTTTGCGTTAAAATCCAGTAAAGTCTTCATTAGGACCGGGTCAGGCGCGTTACGTGCGGCGCAATTGAGCGGTGTGCCGAATTTGACCGACGGTGGCAGTTCGGGATCCGGTAGTGCTCCGGCCTCCAGAAGAAGTCGAACACACACTGACTGGTTCTGATTAGCAGCGAGAGTGAGTGGCGTATTGAGTTTCTTGTCCATGTTATTGGGATCAGCACCCCAGCTGAGGAGTGTCACCACGGCTCGCTCGTCGCCTCTCGCTGCTGCCCACTGCAGTGCTGTCCGTCCTGTGCCGTCTGGAAAGTCTAATGACTTTGGGTCCTGCCGTATTTCCTCTTCTAAATCACCAATACAAAGGCCTAGGACAATCTTATGAATACGAGCAAAGTTTTGGCGTTCATTGAAATCACTACCCTCCGCAATGAGCCGAAGAATCTCAATGACTTCCTGTGAGATGTTGGCCCGGAGTATTATGTCTCCTGCCTTGTCGCTTGGGCAATCATCACTTGGTGCAATCGGCCTGTAAGTCAACATGTTTAGTACATCACAAGGTATTGCGAGAAATCGTCGAGTTGTTGGCATACTTATAGGTTGGATCTGCCCCTGCAGACATCAGAAACTTGCATGTCTCATACTGTTGCCCATACAGCGCCCACTAAATACTGTTAGCAACATGCCCTGAATTGACAAAGAGCCTGCTTCACTTACTCGGAGAAGAGAGTATCCTCGCGTTGAGCTAACATCACGAGGCGATGCTAGTCCCTGACCAAACAAACTCTTCAAGCCTTGTATATTTCCATCAAGCGCATAGCTCACACATTGCGATGAATCCGGTACGCGTCGCAAGGTGCTCAGTTGAAGGGAAGGGCCAACATTCGCTTCGTACGATAGATGTAGACGAATGATTTGAGACCAGCACACCCCCAATGGAAACCAATATTCAACATTGACCGCCGGTGTCTGCCCCTTAATACACGCTGCTGAGTCGCATTTGGTGCTCAGCAAAGGCAGCCCGCTGTAACCTAGCATCAGCTGGCCAACCATACGGTCCATGAATGACGGGGACTTTCTGAGCTTTGAGGAGTGGCAAGAGCAAAGACAGGTCGACTGACACGTTGTACGATTCTGGCGTAGACGAACTCCGACAGACGCAGACTTTTCTTGGATTCGCGCAGCCGAAGCTGGGCTGACGGCTCGGACGACACGTCTCCTCGCAGGCGGCGTCGATGCATTGTAAAGTCGGCCGACCTGAGTGACTTGTGAGGTATGTATGTCTGTTGCCTGGGCTTGAAGAAGTGCCTCAAGCTTGTTTAAATGCTCATCGACTTGGGAGTATGACCTGTTTAACGACTCCTTCATTGTGCCGTGATGTTCATTAAGCAGAGCTTGTATGAAATCGTCTTGCGCTTCCTTCTCGGGGTAAACTGAGTCCTTCGAGTGCGATATTTTCAAGCTGAGCTCTTCTAAACAGAGACGGACGTGCATCATATCTTGTCTGGTGAAAGTCAGCCACATGATCCCTTAGATATGGGTTCGATACGTTTCAAGAGCCGACTCACGAATTTGACGCGCCCAGGAGGACATTCAGACTTGATTTTACTTGCTTGATCTGCTCCTGAAGCGAGGACACGGTGCCTTGCTCTCTCCTCCACATTAGTACACGAGAAATAGCCTCTTTCTTCTTCGTTCCGGTTGCTAGAAGACGCTCGAGGATTGCTTTCAGGTCTACTAAGACATTATTCCCCCTAACCAAGAGGGGCAGCAGCGTCGATTCACCGTAGGCATCCTGCCCGGAGACCCTTCTCTCCTTGACAGCGATGGCAACTTGCTGTAACACAACATTGAAGTCTTGGATTTCGTTGCTCAGCGCATGCATGCGGCCGGGTAAAGAATCCCAGTCTTCCCGAATCCCAGCGAGGAGGTTGGCAACTTGCGCCGCTACGGTCGTTATCGCAATGATGCCTGCTGAAATCGACAAAGGATCCATTATGAAAGACTGGTGTTGCGTGGACCCTGTCGCACAGAAGCGGGGAAGTTTGGCAAGGTGAGGAATGACTTGTTTGCTTGAGGTGGCAAGACGACACCGAGCCGCGAGGCTGCAGGCTGGATGTGAACCAACAGAGGATAGCCATTGAGTGCTATCAGCTACAATGTGCAGATGAACACGTGATGCCTGCAAGGGTCTTTTAACGAGACATACCTTTACCCCGCGCTTAGCCATGTTCATCTCTCACCCAACGCGAACGAGGACGTGGTGTTTTTACCGTCCCAATTGAATAGAGTCAGCACAAGCGACCAGAGCAGCCATTCTAGTTTGGCCGGTTGCCAATATGGTGTCTCTTGATGGCCAACCGTCGCCAGGACTAACGAATACCTTTGGAACTCAAATGCGAGAGGAGTGCTTCACTTTCTCTGAGGGTTATCGACCACTTAATCATGGTTCATTTGGGACTTTCCCAAAAGAGGTTCGGGATTACCAAAGGCAATTGCAGGACGAGAGCGAAGCGCGGCCAGACACATTTATACGTTATACCTACCTCAAGCTTCTCAAAGAGAGCAAGATAGCTGTTGCATCGCTCCTAGGAGCGGATCCCGGCGAAGTTGTGCTTGTTCAGAACGCAACCACTGGAGTCAATACTGTGCTTCGCAACGTGGATTTTCAACCCAGCGATACAATCCTTCACTTCGGAACCATCTATGGTGCTTGCTCTAAGACGATTCAATCACTGTCAGAAGACCGTCCGCTCTCATCATACGCAATTGACATAACGTATCCAATCGACGATGATGAGATTCTGTGGCGGTTCCGAAGTGCAATTGACGAGGTCAAGAGTCAGGGAAAGACGCCGAGACTCGCTATGTTCGACACAGTTCTCACATTCCCCGGAGCCCGATTTCCTTTCGAAAGGCTAGTGGCGACCTGCAAAGAGCTTGGGATTTTGAGTTTCATCGATGGAGCTCATGGTGTCGGTCACATCGATCTGACTCACCTCGGTGATGTTAGTCCGGACTTCTTTATCAGCAACTGCTACAAGTAAGCCAAACTGCAACACCGCTTCGAAGAATATTGTAACGCTAACTTCGAGTTAGGTGGTTGATGGTCCCGAGGGGATGTGCCGTCCTATATGTCCCGTTCCGGAACCAACACATGATCTCCTCGACAGTGCCCACATCATGGGGCTACGAGATCAAAGAGGAGAGAGACAAGATGGATCATCGAGCCTATTTCTCCAGACTGTTTGACAAGATATCCACCACAGACAACACGCCTTACTGCTGTATACCCAAAGCACTCGACTTTCGGAATCGAGTCTGTGGTGGCGAAGCAAAGCTTCGCGAGTACTGCGAGGACCTTGCGCTTCGAGGCGGTGACAGAATGGCAAAGATTCTCGGCACAGAAGTCCTAGGCGCTTCTTCAGCATCATTTCGGCGGTGCTGCTTCGTCAATGTTCAGCTTCCTCTATCTCTAAAGGAACTCGACGTCGACGCATCATCAGGACTAGGCATCGCGAAATGGATGCAAGAACTAACGCCAGCTGAGTATGAGACTTACATCCCCATTAAGTTCTACGCAGGCGGCTTTTGGTGTAGGATCAGTGGTCAGGTGTACTTGACGGTGGAAGATTTCGAGTGGGCGGCAGAGACTTTGCTCCTAATCTGCAAGCGGGCAAAGGCCGGGGAGTGGAAATGAAGAATGAATGCAATTTTTTCACCATGGATGACTTGTGGCAGGATTACTGGGATTCGAGGAGATCCCGTGAGATTTTTCTGTCTCAGTAAATCATGACACTATGCTTCACAGATCTATGAATCCAGCCTAGTACTTATTCAGCTTTCGATAGAATATGATGATGTATGTCCAATGCTAGTGGAAGCGCATGGTTGAAACCAATAGTTGGTCATTCACCTCACTTATTGTACGTATAAACATGAACAATGAAAGATTTCTTACTACTTTAATAAGAAGCAACTATCTAGTCATGAAATATAAACTGGTCAACAAGCTGTGCTATGCCACCAACAGTCGCCAAAATGCTAACCCCCGCGGCGCCTAGGCCCGCCCGCCCAAGCGTGCCGAAACCTTTCGCCCAGGTTCCGACGGCGGCCGTAACCCCCCTGAACACCTGCGTGTTCTGAGCGACTGGCAAACCAGCCGAGAGGGCGCCGGTGAAAATGTCCATCACAAGGTCCAGCGAGGTCACCTCGTTGTGAGTGCCATATGCCCAATTATCAGCGGCGTTAGTAGCAAAGTTCTGACCGACGTTGGCGCTTGGGTTCAAGGTTAGACGGAGTGCGAATTGCTTCATGGCCAGAACGCTCGGGCTGGGACGTGCCGCGCCGCCGGTAGCCTCAGCCAGCGCCGACGTCTTCGCTCCCTGCGCTCCGTCTGATGCTGCCGTCGTCCCATAGTTGGTGTTGGTATTGGACCGCGCAACACGCGATGTTGATATCAACGGCTCGTCCGGGTCGACGAGATTTTCAGATCTACTCGTGAGACCGGCGGCTTCCTGCTCCTGTTCCACGATCATGTTGGCACTGGCGTTGGTGTCCTCGGCGACCTCGGGGCCTACGACGTCGCCAATGTCGGATACAGCGCTCCCAGCCGTCGGCCCCGCATCTGCCGCCGCCGTCTCGAGGGAACCCGCGGCCGCCTTGGTCATGAAGCCTGCGCCACTCCAATACGCGCCCAGTCCGCCCGTGATGGCGCCCGTTACGGCTCCCACGGCGCCTCCGATGGCTACCTCGACCGCCCAGCCCTTGAAGAAGGTCCCCGCGTCCGTGACGTTGCGGTGTTTCCACGCGTACGTGACCGACGCCATGCCGGCGCCCAACAGGAAGCCTGACGCACTAGAGGGTAAAGATTGATAAGTCAACGTTGTTCGGGGAAACGGCATAAGTCGTCAAGATCCAAATAAGTAAGAGAACAGAAAGGAAACGATGTTACTTACGCGCCTAACCCGATCGCAGCAAGGATTGGAAGATCCGCGCCCAACGTCACAACAGTAAGGACGATAAACGCCGCGATCAAGAGCACCCCGACCACGATCGCGACCCAGAACATCCACGAAAAATGCCCGGTTGGGTCCGTATGGTTGACTGGATCATTATTCTCGAAAGCCATACGGTTCATGCCGTCCGGGTACAGCGTCTGCCGCAGGGTGAGGATGGAATCCGGGGTGGTGAAGCGGCCTGTAACCGGGTCGTACATGCGCGCGCCAAAGTCCAGCAGCTCGCTCAAGTCGTCCATGACGGCTCCCTCAAACTCACGAGAGCTGCGCGAAGTCTTGCTCCCGGTTGACTTGATCACCTGCCCGTAGTCGTCGTAAGTGATTTGCCTGATCAGACGCCTGTCGAAGCCGTCAAAGACGTGCGTTATGCTCCCTTTGTGGTTCGTCATAGGCACTCGGAATTTTCGTGATTTTTGGTCCTCTATCGGAGGGGACCCAGACACGGATGGCATAATTTTGGTCCAGACTGTGACTGCTGTTTGATCGGGAAATTTGAAGTCCTTTTTGACGGTCTTCGAGCCGTCCTTGCTGAGAATCTCCTGGTACTCTGGGCCCGCATTGATCTCGATGGACCCGTCGGGGGCTTGTCGGACGACGGTGAATAGGCCGTGATCCGAGAACATGATTGATGAGCCCTCTGAGCTTGTCGCAGAGCTCATCTTGCCATTCTCGTCGTAGGTGTAGCTCATCTCGGGGCCGTCACCATTCTTGCGCGTCGTCAGACGACCGGCAGCGTCCGAAGTGGACCAGAAGACCGTTTTGCCATCCCGGGAGCCTTCGATTCGGGTGGAATCCTCGTCCGATGAGTAGCTCAGCAACATACCGTCCTTTTCTATCAAATCTCCCGACGAGCTGTACGAATATTTGCGGTTGACACCTTCGGCGCTGTGTGACGCGACCAGCCGCCGATCGATATAGTCGTACGCGATGGATGAGCCGCTGACACTCTCGTTAAGGCTGTTTACCTGGTCGAGCGCGTTATATACCAGGTTATGGTCGACCAGCCTCTTATCTTGACCCTGCTCCTGTCCTTCCAGTAAAGTCATTCTGGTTGGCAGGCCCAGCTTGTCAAACGCAACCTCATGGTGCCACCCGCCCTGAGCCAACTCGGAACCACGGATCGTCCAAGCTGTAGGTGTGCCCGACTCGCTGAATGCAATTGTAGATGCAGATATGTCCCAGCCGCTCTGCCCGCCGCCAACAGGAGGGGCCTGCATCTTCTTCTGGGCCAGCCTAAGTCCAGAGTAGGTTGAGTTCACCGTCGTTGAATCGGGCAGCGTCTGGGTCAGGATGCGGCCCAGACTGTCGTACGTCCACGCCGATTTGAGCACAACAGATTTGGAACCATCCCAAAAGGGCACATCACCCGTCAACTTGAGGGATTGGCCCGTTTTACGCGCCGCTTCGTCGTAGGTGTATTCGTACTCGAGCTTCCGCACCGCCCGCGACTTCCCGGCCGCGTCGACTGTGTCTGGACTGCACTCGATCGTAACGCCGGCGAGCAAGCCCTTCCCGGTGCCCGGCACATCGAAACGGAATCTCGTGGTCCGCATGACACCGCCCTTAAGGTCTTTGCCGACGATTTGGACCGTTCTTCCCATCGCGTCGTACGTTCGCTCCAGGGCCTCTCCAAGCACGTTGACCTCCCTAACGAGACGGCCGCTCCCGTCGTAGGAGCGTGTCAGACCCCTTGTTCTCTTAAGCGGGTTCTGATATGGGTCGTTGATCTCGACGACGCAGCCTAGAGAGTTATACTTGCGCTGTTCGACACGGCCGCCCGCATCGGTGAGCTCGACGAGCCGGCCCCGTCCATCATACTTCCATGTCTTGACCTGGCCGCTGCCGTTCCGTGACAGAACGATCTTGTCCTTGCCATCCACGCTGGCAAACTCCTGATAATCCGTCTCAATGATGGACCTGGTACTCACCGGCGAGGAAAACTCCCCGATCAGCGCGGCGGTGCTGAAGTGGGTCGTGCGAGTAGACCCGCCCCGGCCATAGACGGCGTCTATAGCCGTGAACCCGTCGCTGGGGTTACTTGCCGGCCGTACGAGCAGCACCGCTCTGCCTAGGGCATCGAACACGGAGAGTGTCGAGCGGGAGTTGTCGGGCGCGGTACTCCAGCCTGAGGGATCGGGCGCGTATAAGGTGCTCCTCACGACGGGATTGTTTCCCGTGTCGTACTCGAAGAACGCCCACGACCTGCTGGAGGCTACGCCGCCGCCGCCACTGCTTTCCGCGTCCAATTGCTCCGCGCTGCGGCGGTTGCGGCCCTTGCAGTCCACAAAGTGGGTGGCAGGTAACACCGGCATAGAAGACGGACCGGCGAACTTGGCCACGGACTTTGTGGGTGCCGGCTTCGAGGTCACCGGGTCAATATCGGTCGTGGCGTATGAAGTCTCTTGATTGCGACAGAGTCTTGAAGTCTCCAGTATCTTGCCGAAGTCTTGGCTCTTGACGCTCGTCCCGGCCGGTCCTCCGTCCCACTTGAAGTCGTCCGTGTCGGACTTGGTAGCGGTAATCGCCTTGGTCCGCTCCCGGCCCCACTCGTCCACGGTGGTGGTCTGGATGACGCCCTTCTCCGACATGTGAGCCGTCGCCACGCCGTACCTTGCGTCCCACGCATAAGCCGTCTTGAGGTCGACGCCTGTCCCCTTGAGCATGGTTCCGACGACGTACTGGGGGTAGAGGCCATCATATGTCATTATCGTCGACAGACCGGTAGTGCTGGTCTCGGCCAGCAAATTGCCAAAAGCATCATATCCGAGGGTGGACTCGACGAACTGCTGAGAGTCCGAGGACCACAATCGCTGTGTCGTGATGAATCCTTGGTCATTGTACACGAACTGAGTCAGGCTGAGATCTGAGGAGGAAGAGTACGTGCTGAAGTTATTGCTTCCCGCATTGGAGGTAACCTTGCTGGCAGCGGTAAGGCCTTGAACGCCCAACCGAGTGGTGGGAGCGTACTGGCTAAACTTCCACTGCTCTCCAAGCCGCGTCTTATTCTTGGTGGGCTCGCTGGTCTCATACGAGTACTCTACCGTCCTATCCCTCGACTCACCGTCATACCCAAACTCCGTCATCAAGAGGCGCTCCGCCACTTTGCCCAAATCATCAAAGTAAGTCCTTGCTCTCAATGTCTGTCTGACGACGTAGCAGGCGGGTCTGCCACTACGCTTAACCGCCTCGAAGTCGTTGGAGACGGACTTGAGCAGGATCAGTTCGTCCCCGGCCCACGTTGACTGGTGACTCTTTTCCAGCCCCTTGATACGTCGTTGGAGCGCTATTGGAGAGCTGCCGTACGTGTCGCGGGTCTTGACAAGCCCGCAGAGAGGCCACTCCTGGAAGTAAGTCGTGAGAGCACGCACGCCAGACACGGTCTCGGTGCGCGAGACTTTCTCAAAGCTGGACCAGCTTCTTCTCTTGACGTCAAAAGCACCGTTATGGTACTTGTACTCGTAGTTGGCAGAGTAAGGAAGCGGATTGACCCTGGCATCGTTGTCCTCGCGGACGCGTGTCACGAGGTAGGCCGGGATGGCGATACAGCGTACATTCTCATCGTCGTCTGCAGGACGGTACGTCTTGTAATCGACACCAGACTCGTATACCTCGGCCCGCGTGGCGGAGCCATATTCGATTGTGGACCGTAAACCGATCGGACTGGTCACGGTTTGGAGGTGGTCAGAGAGCTGGACGTTATTGTAGATGGGGCGGACGGCGGCGTGATTGTCGTATAGAGAGTACGCGAGCCATCCACAGCGCGACACCCCGTTCAGGTCGGTAGGCGTCAGGTGTAGTTGGTCTGCGGGATCGCCCAGCGAGGCGCCGCCGGTCTGGACGAGAGGCTGTGAGAGGGCTTGAAATGAGCCCAGCTGGCCGTTACTGTTACCGACGGCCAAGATACAATTCCAGGTCTTATTGTCGGCGTTCGGGTATGCGTACGCAATGCCACCAAAACGGGCACTGGAGGGGTTCACGGCAAAGACGCGGCCCAGGCCCATCGGCTTCGCCGAAGTAACGACAGAGGTCTGCTCGGCCTGCCGCGCAAAATTGCCGTTGGAGTCGTGGAGAAAAGTCGTTGTGGTCATGGTGAAGGTTGCAGTATCTCCGCCGCCACAGCTGGCAACGCGTGCGGTGCAGACAACGATATCCAGGCAGCCGTCGCCGTTGACGTCGCAGACGGCCGTCGAGCGCCGGACCTTGTCCTCGGGCACGTAAGTCAGGATGGGCTGGGAGCCCAGGAGACTGAAGGCTTGCCCTTCCGAATCGTGCTGCATAGAGCCCATGCTGATGACGTCTACCCATAAACATCGAGACCCAACACCGGCGGAACCTTCCATTACGTGGACGAGAGCTGGCGCGCAGGTCGTGTCGTTATGAAAGACAAAATGTTCGATAGTAAGCCCTCGCACCGGCCACGCAGGCGACTGGCGTGACGGGGGTATGGCGTTAGGCCGCGTTATCATGGCGGCCACATCATAAAAGGTGCGAAGGGAGTAGGTGCGAGCACCATGATCAGTTATCATTTGCAAGATATCTATCTGACCGTCACCAGTGGTATCGGCGAGCAAGAAGCGACTGCCGTGTTGCCAGGCAAAACCGGACGTGATGATGATGGGCTTGTCGAACCCTTGGCCGTTGGCGCGCAGGACGGCAAAGGATAGGGAATTCCTTTGGGGGTTCCTGTACGGGATGACGAGGTCCGAACGGCCGTCGTGGTTGAGATCGGCCACCAGGATATCGGGAATATTGTTAACGTCTGTCCAGGGCAACTGAACTGGAGCATGCCCAACGTCCATGCCGAGGTTCTTGTCGTGAGGCCACTGCAGTTTTGGGGGTGTATACGTCTGAGAGGACTGCTCTTGATGTGAAGGCATCGCGGCCAAGGTGCGCACTTGGAAGAGGCCGCTGGGACTAGGCAGCTCTAGACAGACGAGATCACTGTAGCCGCGACCTGTGGTATCAAGGGGCAGGATAGCGGCAGGGGCGGCGCCAGTACGCAGGGTGAAGGCGCCGGCCGGGTCCTGGGCGAAAGGCGATGTTCCGGCGGCCGAGTCATCGGCCGCGGTATATGTGAAGGTTGTCGGTGTGAGCGCATTGTTATTTGAGCCACGCTCCGTGATGGAGGCGAGAAGGGACTCGCCGCTGGCAGGAGACGACGTGTAGGTGAGATCAAAAGCCCTGGCCAGATCTGACTGTTGGGCGCTGTCAGGACTGCCAACACGAGCCTCGATGCGTTCGAGCCTGTAGCCAATGTTGCGCAGCTGACCATGGCGGACAACAACGGCACGATCTGGGCGGGTGTTGTAGAGGAAAGTCAACCAACAACGGCCCTTGTAGCCGTTGCGGGAGTTGCTGGTGTACTGGATGGTGTCGATATACGACACTTGTGTAGACGACGTCGACGACGATCCTTTCTCTGACGGCGGACGAGAGCCTCCAGCAGCCAGACCAGGAGACTGGGAATAGTGGTAGGTGACGGTGTTCCCATGGACGTCTGTAGTACTGCTGAGACGCCACTGACCGGGCAGCAGCCGACTGTCTGGCGTGGTGCCGTACTCTTTCGTGCGGCCATCAGTATCTAGGAGTTGGAAACCTCCAGATGCCAGAGATTTGATGACCTGGCCCGCGTCGACCTGGGTACAATAGCGCGCGTCTCCCGTGCCATAGGAGCCCTGGAAGCAGATGAGCTCTGCACCATCGACGGCTAGACGCCAGGGAACGGGCACCTCCTTGCTGGCAAGAAAGTCTGGGTGCTGACGGATCGCGCGAGATGGCGCAACTCTCTCGATGGAAGACAAGCCCGCAACCGCCCAGCGGAGGCCACAAGTGCCGGCAGCATCGCGGGTTTGCGAGTACTGCAGACTGAGCTTGGGAGTATTTCCCTGCCCGATACCAGAGGGGACGGTGATGGGGAAAGAATAGCTGGCGTGGCCATTGGCGTCAACGGCGAGAGCGCCTGAGGGTCTATCCATGAGTTTCCTGTAGAATTTACGAAAGAGTACCGTAATTCAGTCCGACGATGTGCGACTGCTAGCTTCGTCTCTTCGATTCTGCAATTCTGTAACAAAAGTAAGTGGTGTGTAGTAAGTGTTTGACAGAGAGATTTCCGACTTAGATACTTACATGACGGTTGGATGAATGAGTTAGTTGACAAACACACACAAAAGACGAATAAGAAACAATTAGTCTACCCCTTTGGACGTGAAGCTTTTCAGCTAAGCAGTGATGCGCCACAACTCCATCCCTGTCTTCAGCCGTCGGAGCTAGGTTTTCAGCTCACTCGTGACGTCTTCTAACTTTTGACAAAAACACTCCGTGAAATTCCAGCTGCCTTTCGTAGTGAAAAGCGCAGTATTGGTGAGAGGACACCTTTCTTTACCCCGTCAGCTCAGAGGCGAAGCCACTCTGCGATGCTCATAAAACTCCGTCTTAACCCGTTCAATATTGATTGCCAACCAGTGAGGTAGTCGTCAAAATAGTAGCACATGCCAAACCACACTCACCTACACACGCGCACACACAAGACTCTGATCTTAGTCCGCAACAATTCACCATGTCTAGCGACGAGGCCACGGAAGCGTTGCTGCTCTGCTACTTGGACGGGAACAGACTCATCTTTAGATATCTCCGTCGCAACGCAGGAGCGGAGAACAGCTCTAACTTCGCGACCATCAGCAAGCCGTACCCGCTCAACTTGAGCAATTCGCTATACAGCTTGATCCCGGGCTACCGGCCTTCGTGGCCCATGCCGGTCAACTACAATGACAATATAGAGATCAAGTCTACCGGCGCTCTGACCTGGCAGGACGGCCTCGCCCAGCTGCAAATGGTTGTCGTTGTCAGCCACGGCCAGCAGAGCAGCGATGCCTCGAACCCGCGATACAAGGCCTTTGTGCTGGAGCTCGCCCCGAGTCTGGACATCTGCTCCGCTGCGTGCCTGCCCGCGGGGACTGAGACGGGACCAGCTACTGACTGGGCCAACCAGCCCTGGTCCGCCGGCGTCAAGCAGGACGACTTCTCACACATGTCTGCAAGCATCCTGACGTCAACGGCCGGCTGTTCGCCACGGTCTCGCCCTTCTTCCAGCCCATCGAGCATAATCTGCTGGTTCCTGACGCCAACGACTCGTATCGCGAACTCGCTTATGACGAACGCAAATGGCCCAGGGCCGACGACCGCTTTGCCGCACTCTGCTGCCGCAAAGACTCCGGTGACCGTGACTTCTCCGTGCCTGCGCGGGGCGGGACCGCGTACTTGACCGGTTACCGCCCGTCCGCCGACTGGTTCGCCTCGCCGGTGTTGATTCCAAACGGACCACGAATAGACAACAGGGGCACAGGAAACGTCGGACCGCAGCAGCTCATCTACCTCGACAACTCGACTACCGTCTTTGCGCTATATACCCCGTTCCCAGATGACAATAGCGGCCAGAGCTCATCGAGAGTCATCACGCTCGGCTTCACCAGCGCCACCGCTATGGGCAGGCTCACCTCCACCTCGACGGACACGCGGTGGTCCCTCCTCAACATCACCTCGGGCAGCCACGGCTTCCGGGCGGCTTGTGCCGTCGCCGTCCAGCCACCCGACCCGTCCGCTCCGCCGCTCCTTTACATCTTCGCCGTCGATTCCAACGACAACAATCAGGGCCGGCTCTGGTACATGACGCTGCCCCTGTGCGGGTACGACTCCATGTACGGCCACCCGAAGCTAGAGCCGGGAACTACCACCATCGAGGTGGGCGATCAGGCCGCCAGCAACAGCCTGGAATGGGTAGACGACTTTTCTCGGCAGCCCATAAACGCCGAACCGACGAGGCCGCTCAAGGTCGTCCGCTACGGCAACTCTCTTGGTGTTTTCCACCAAGTCGGTGGTGAGATTCGATTGCTCAGACTCGACCTGCAAAAGGATGGCTCCCTCATCGATCCTGCCTTTCCCCAATTTAAACACATGTATCGTCAGTATACCAAAGTCACGTCTGAGAATTCGGCTATGCTGGTATCTGCTTGCGCCATGCCCCTAAAGTTTTGCAACCGCTTTGTTTAAGACCCCTGAATTCGCTCGGGTACGGGATATGTGAGGTGGAGAATTGCAGATAAGCAGTCGTTGATATCGTAAACATCATTGACTTCATGCCAAGGCAAGGTAGGCACCGTAAATCTAGACGATCATACGCAAGTGGATGGTCTGAGAAGAGAGAGCAGAGGATGAGAGTGAACAAAGAAACTGCAGTTCACTAGACCATTTGATTCGTCAATACTGTTATCTAGTTCCGGTTGAGAATGAAACAGGATTTTCTCTGCTGGAATTTACGCAGCTGGTCCCGTGACATTGCCCATACTTCCGCCGACCAAACCCCGCCTACCGTCGCTCTTACATCTCTTATGCTTCCAGAGTGTTTATTTTTGAAGCAATTGTGACGGTCCTGGCGGTCTCCTTGCTCTGATGATCTGTCTGTTCCACTTCTACTGAAGCCTTCTCTGTGAGATGAGGGCATGTAGCAGCGGAGGCCTGACAGGCTGTGCTACAGCGCGTCAGGAGGTGGTAAATCCATGCTGCGTGATCAGGCGTAGAGCTGTGAATTGCACTTCTGCCTGATCCTGGCATAGCTACTGATAGAGGCGGCTGAAGTTGAGTACCTAGGAGAAAACCAATCAATCATTCACGTATCATTCGAGGCTAGCGCTTACTCTTGCATGTCCATCTTGGAGATATCGGCGAATGATCCTAGAAGCTGCGGTCCGACCGCTCAGTCAGGTCTCATCAGTCGCTGGTAGGTATTCAGCAGGTCTAGGTAAATCAGCGCGGGGGATTGGTTGTCGCGGCGGCATGCAGTGGTTGTTGGTTTGTGGTTTGAGGCATCCAAACACGCCTTGATAGGTCCGAAGCTGAGCTGGAGTGCGAACCCTTGTCAAAACCGAAGCACCAATGTCTCCCAGCCACGGACGCCACCTAACAGGAGGTGTTACCCTCGAGAACAGTGCCAACGGAGGGGGAGAAATCTTTTCTTTTTTTTTCGCCCGCTTCCGCTCTTTCACCGGCTTCGTTTTCTGGTGCGAGGCCAGCAGCACCATGCCGACCGATCACAACCAGAACTTCAGGATACGAGGACTGCCCCGCGAATACGAGACCAGGGCTGACGTTCGTGTATTGGTCAAGGAAGTTCTTTCTCTCAAATCCAACGCAAGCGTCATTGTTCATTCACTTGCGATTTGTCCTGTCAAACGAGACAGTCGAGTCGCAACTCTCCGCTTCAATCCCCTCCCAGATTACTTCTCAGATCGCTCTAGGAATGAATGGGTAGTCAGCCTAACGAACGAGGATGACTCCGATTTCAAGGCACCACTCATTTTCGATACTCACTTCTCGGGCTTCACGCCTCTTCAACGTACCGTTGACGAGAGTTGTAATGTAGAGTGAGTTGACGACAATCTCACGGCGACTTACGCGACATTAACCCTTGATCCAGTGTGATTGCTATGTCTGGCCTCGGAGGGCACGCATTTGGTTCGTTTAAGGAGAGAGGAGGGCCTTTCATGTGGCTCCGAGATGCGCTTCCATTAGATGTTCCAAATGCAAGAATCTTAATATATGGGTACGACACTCGACTTGTACGGAGCAGCTCCTTCCAAAACTTGTCAGACCTGGGCAGAGCTCTCCAGATTGATTTGAGAAGTATTCAGGTTGTATATTGCGCCCGTAATCCGAGTTGCTTTATGAAGCTAATCTAGCACACAGGACCCAGGGCATTCTCATCCCATAGTGTTTATCGGGCACAGCCTGGGAGGTCTTGTTATCAAAGAGGTCAGCTCGATCCAAATGAACACCGAAGAAGGAATTCATCAGCTACTGACATCCTTGCTTTATCCATTGGTGCAGACTATAGTCAGGATGAAAGAAGAGATACACGAAGCGCATGCATCGATCCTAGATTCTATCTCTGGATTCATATTCTTTGGCGTTCCTCATCAAGGCTTGGCCATCGAGTCACTCGTTCTCTTGGTCAAGAATCAGCCGACCCGGAGTCTACTTGAGTCGCTCAACAGGAACTCAGCACTCCTCCAACGCCTGGACAAAGAATTCAACAACGTGATTAGTGCAAGGAGACCGTCAATTGTGTCCTTCTACGAAACGGAGAAGTCTCCCACGGCTGTAGAAGTAGGTTCATCTAGATTGGTTGGCCTCTAACAAAGTGCCTGCTTACGCTTAATTTAGGTAAATGGCAAGTGGGAGTTGTCTGGACCTAGCGAAGTCTTAGTTGATGTCTCTTCAGCGACATGCTACAGTAATCAACGCCATCCGATTGACCGCAACCACTCTGAGATGGTGAAATACAGCCACGGACACGACGTATTCTACAGGCGTGTCATCACCGTTACACGAGAAATAATGAGCACCAATACGCAGAGCAGAACCGATGCCAGAAGTCCCGAAACTGAAGTTGATGGTGGGTAATTAGATCCCAATATCTATCTAGACAATAAAATGACAGCTCTTGCAGCATCTATATTGCTTTCGGATGACAATAAGGGTATGGACCCCAAGGACAAACTGTAGCAAACAACTGACACAACTCAGAGTGTCTCAGGTCACTTTCCTTTCGAGAACAAGAGTACAGGTACAGCGATGTTTATTCCACAAAGAACACCTGTGGTTGGCTTCTCGAGGATCCGCAATACCAAGCTTGGTCGGATAGTGCGCGGGGCCTTTTCTGGATCAAAGGAAACCCTGGAACCGGCAAGTCAGTTCTCATGAAATTTGCAGTCACAAAGATGGATCGCAGAAGGTCCGGGGAACTCGTTGTGTCCTTCTTCATCCACGGCCGGGGAAACCCTTTGCAGAAGACTCCACTGGGTGTATTCCGGGCATTGCTTAACTCCATGCTCAAGTCCTTTCCACAATACCTCTCTCAACTCACCGAACGATTCAAAGATCGGCAGGCACGATTTGGGGCTTATGAAGAGAATCGATGGAATTGGACCGAAAGAGAACTTCAAGATTTCATGTCCGAGATTTTGACCAAGGGAACAAAAAAGCAACCTGTGGTAATCTTTGTCGATGCCCTTGATGAGTCTGGGGAAGATGATGCCACGAGCTTACTGAAGTATTTCAAAGCCCTCATGGACGATATTGAACGCGAAAAGGCACTGGTCAAAATATGCTTCTCTTCGAGACATTATCCTATCCTTGGATGCGAAACGATGTCAACAATCCATGTGGAGGAGAAAAATGACGAAGACATCAGGCTAGTCGTTCGAGAACGACTCAAAGAAATTCAACCGGTAGCAAAGCGGCAACAACTCGAGAATGAAATCTTGATGAAGGCTCACGGAGGGTTCCAATGGACAATATTGGTTGTTGCCGCGATACTGCATGGAAGTGCTATTGGAACTAGCGTCGAGAGTCTGCACAAAAGACTCACAACGATCCCGGAAGCTCTTGATGGGTTGTACGCTGGTATCTTGAGCGGCGTCGACCCTATCGAGCAGTACCAAATGACAAAACTGTTCCAATGGATTTTATTTGCTGCACGACCATTGTCTTCACACGAGCTCCGAGAAGCGTTTGCCGTCGATTATAAGGACAAGAATTGCACAACTATTTCGCAACTCAGACGCCACGACAACTGGACAGATACTGCGACTCAATTCGAGAGAATTGTCACACACATCTCCAAAGGCCTCGTAGAATTCCGAACTCGCGAGGTTTGGGAGCAACACGATCCTGATGGGGAGGACTGGGACCGGGAAGCTCAGTTCGTTCACCAGTCAGTTGCGGATTACGTGCTTGGAAAGTTTATCAAAACCACGCGCCACGATTGTTCTTTTCAATCTCCCATTGGGGTTGGTCACTTTGAGATATCGCGGTCTTGTCTCAGTTACTTGACTTTGAGAGAAGTCTTAGAAGGCGCTCAGCTACCTCGGCCTAAACTCTTCGCGAGATTCCCGCTGATACCATATACAGCACAGTTCTTGTTCCACCATATTCGGGAAGTTGAACGTGCAGGAATCCCTCAGGAAGATCTTCTTGCGCGTATTCACTGGGGTCGGCAATCTGAAATCTTGAATAATATCGCGAGCCTATGGAGAGTGATGGATCCTGACAACATTCACGCACCTAAGGGATGGCCCTTTGTTGGGGCACCATCCCTTCACGTTTTGGTGGGGTTCGGCTCAGAGAGCTGTTTGGACGCATTTCTTGTCAAAAATGATGCAGAGCTAGAAGTTAGGGATGCGGATGGGAACACACCACTACTACTGGCTCTCAGAGAGTGTCGCGAAGACATGGCCTTACTACTGCTGGATCGGTCCATCGAATGGCAGCTCCAAGAAGAGGCATCCAACATCAAGGTCGCTCAAGACAACGGCCGAGGGCACCCAAGGAATTATCTTTCCCACCTAGATTTGAAAAATCGTGATGGGGAAACGCCCTTAACTGTTGCCGCGACGATGAAGGCCGGTGAGGTAATCTTCAAGTTAATCGAAGCGGGCGCTGTTCTGGAACTCTTCGGGCATCCGTTCGAGCTCGTATCATATGCCATCCGCCACGGGGACAGAAAGCTTCTTTCAATACTATTGAAAAAGGGTGTTAAGCACGACGGAGCTATCTTTTCTGCGGTGAAGGACCTGCCTGAGAACGTCGATCTCGATGTTCTAGAAGTTTTGTCGGAACTCCTCAAGGCTGGTGGCAACACACGCAAATCTACGAACTTTGTTTGGACATCTGAGGATGAAGATGAATATGGATACGAGGATGAAGCGATGATTGTGGCGTCGCGAAGAGGTCAGACGGCAATCGTCAGCCTACTCTTGTCACATGGCGCTTCCGCGGAGGTACTGGACGATTCCGGGAATTTTCCATTGTTGGTCGCTGCACGTAATGGCCATAAGGAAACAGTGGAGGTTCTTCTTCACCACGCACCGCAAATGGTTGAAGTCTCGGACTCTAACGAGCAGACAGCCTTTGACGCAGCCGTTGTAGAGAGCCATTTTGAATGGGCATTGATGCTTCTGCCTCAAGAGAACAAAGCTGTCGCATCAGTCGAGGCATATAAGATGGCTGTCGAGGCGGGCGAAGTAGAATTAGTGGTAGCAATTCTACGCGCGGAAATAAAGCACGCAGACCCAGGCGATAAAGGCGATCGAAAGCATGAAACACCATTCTTTTGGGCTGCCCTGAAGGGGTATGAAACGGCAGTCGAACTACTTCTCCAGAATGGTGAGGTCAACGTCGATAGAAGAGACGGATATGGTCAATCGCCATTGTCATGGGCTGCACGGCAGGGGCATGAAGCCGTAGTCGCACTACTTCTGAGTACGAATCGGGTCGACGCCGATGGAAGAGACTATTACGGTCAATCGCCATTGTCATGGGCTGCCCGGCAAGGGCATGGAGCGGTAGTCTACCAACTTCTCCGTAGAGGTGGGGTCCGCGTCAATATGAGAGACGATGACGGTCAATCGCCATTGTCATGGGCTGCTCAAATGGGGCATGTAGCGGTAATGAAATTGCTTCTCGATGTGTTGGGGGTCAACGTCAATTTGATAGACTACTATGGCTATACACCACTCTTACTGGCTATTCGGCAGGGGCATGAGGCGGCGGTTAACTTACTCGTTGGTAGGGGTAGTGCCAACGTCACCTTAGAAGATGAACAAGGCCGAACGCCGCTCTTGTGGGCTACTCAGCATGGTAAAAAGGAGGTGGTCGAGTTGCTTCTCGACACGGGTAGGGTTGACGTCGATAAAAAAGATCGTTATGGCCAAACACCACTTTTCTGGGCTTCTCAGCATGGGCTTGAGGCGGTGGTCAAGCTCCTTGTGGACAAGGGTAAGGCCAGCGTTGATAGAAAAGATCAATGTGGTCGAACACCGCTCTTATTGGCCGCTCAGCATGGGCACGAGGCGGTGGTCAAGCTTCTTCTTGATACAGGTAAGGTCGATGTCGATGGGAGAGATCAACACGATCGGACACCACTCTCATGGGCTGCTGAGGAGGGGTACGATAGAGTAGTGAAGCTACTCATGGACACAGGCAAGGTTGACATCGATAGAAAATATCAATATGGTCGAACGCCACTCTCATGGGCTGCGCAGCGAGGGCAAGAGGCGGTTGTCTGGCGGCTCATGCACTCATAGAAACTTGCACACTTTGAATGATGTAGTTTCTTGGTTACATTTCCTCCTCCACGTCTTTGCTGAAAGATGAGATAGTCAACGTTGCTATGGCGACTAATTTCAATGCGGCACCTTGCCATTTCCCTAAACCAGCAGAAACCTCCTTTGGGAGGCTGCATCTCAGCATCCTTTCCGTAGCTTGAACTAGCTGTCGCTGACTACTTCTCGTGCGGCGGCCTAAGTGTGATGAACAGAGATGCACATTCCACTTTATCTGTCGAAAGGAAAGAAATGAAAGGTGCTTCAGAAGTTAGAGGATGATCCGCATCGAAGGTCGTACGTGTCCAGCAGCATCTGACAGGCGCGCATATCTGGAAAGATGGATTTTGAAGGTCTCTCTATACATACCCTCTGTCTCATCCCTTTTCGACGCCTTTTGCTTCAAGAAGCTTAGCAACCTACCCTCCCCGAAGACATGATGTTGGGCTCCTTATTACCAAAGTCAACGCGAAACCGGAGTAAACAGTCAATAATACCTGAGGATGAATGCACCTACATAAACTTCCATGACCAAGCTTGCAACATCGTGGAAAGGCATATGTGGGGAGTCGGCGCTGACTCACTCACCAAGCTCTTCAAGGCCGAATCTCATACTCAGTCGAAAATCATGACAATAGTATTTCCCGAAGTCCAGGTTCGTCCACAAGCATTGACTTCAAAGTACTGCATTTGTTTAAAGTTTCTTGACTCAAGATACACAGTACTTGCCTACTTTTTGGAGGGTTGCTCTAGGGGAAAGGCTGATGTGTACTAGACAGCGCCACCTTCAGTATCTTTGCCATTGGAAGCAGGGAAACAGCTTCAAAGGCGGACGTAAAAGCAACACTATCAAGAAAGTTTCAATGAATTGATGATGAGCAATCTTATTCCTTGGGCTTTTTCTCTAGTTTACTTCACCGAGGCCCAGTGGTAGCGTTCCCCACCACGATCGTGCCAAAGTGGACCACGATAGCTTCACCAAAAGATCAAAAACATACAACACCAGGTATTCGCTGGTCGTCACCGACCCAACTACTAATCCGGCCCTCATTGGCTTGTCTATGGGAGAGCGGACGGGATCCCGAATTTTCCAATGGGTATGGTCGTATGTGAAGGCATTGCGGGATCCTAGGGGCTGTGAAGGGCGAGAGATCACACTGCAAGGCTTAGGAGCTATCTCAACGTGTACTTTTCTCCAATTTCTTTCGTTTATAGTGTGTCATATAAAAGTTTATTTGAATCACTTCAACTAAGCACAGAAATCATCTACCAAGCACCGTCGTGAGGGAGGCTGGCCCAGGCGTGATGATGACTTGTCGAGGTCCTTGCCCTGACTTGTCTCGAAGTGCTGTCGTAGCCCAACTTCCCTTCGATTTTGCTGATGTTCAGGGCTTAGATCCTTGCCCATTACTCTCTAGCATTGATCATCCTGTTAGTGTCAGCCTCTGTATCCTTGTTGCTGATGTTGACGGCCTCTTCGCCCTTCTCATCTGCCACGGCCGCTTCTACTGACGCTAGTGTCAGAGAGTTCGATGCCGTGTGCTTTCTGACACCATTATAGACGCTGCTTCCTTCATTTAAGATATTGTCTGGGCATATAACGGCCATGTCCAGATATTCGTTGAATGAATAGCTGCATAATTGGTTGAGGCCTCCCTCGATACAGTTCGAATCAGCCTCTTGCCAAGGTGTCGACGAAGGAATCTGATCATCCAATAACGCCTGAGTGAAGTCGTATTCATCAAATGAGCCGAAAGTAGCGAAACATGAAGAAACGCCCGCGGTGTCATTGATTCCGTCTGTACCGGTCTCTAGTACCAGTGACGCGACAAGTGGGTCCTGGGGAATCGACGAAGTGAGGTCCTCAACGCACCTCGCGTCAGACGGGTTTTCCATAGTCGATGAGGATGTGGCTTTTTGAGATGCAGTACATGCGCCTCCTGGATGCTGCGGGCCGTGGCTTTCGTTCGTCCTGGCGATCTTCTTTTGAGCAAATGCCTTGAAGAGCCCTAGCACTGCACGCCTTTTGGCGCTGTCGAGGGAGACTTCAGCGATTTCCTCTAGTTTTGAGAAGAACTGCTCGCCCATGCCAGAGTCATTGTCTTGAGTGAAAAGCTCCTGAAGATCACTGTATCCTACAATGGTGTCATCGTACTGTATTCTGTAGACTATAGTAAGGGTCAGTAACTCTGATCAACCCTGGAAATGTCGGCAAGTGAACATGGACCGACGTACAAGGGTCTGGAATGACAGTGCAATCCGGAAACAGTATACGGTAGATATTCCTCCAATTCTCTTCCTCTGATCTATCGCCTCGTGCCCGCTTCCGACTTTTCAATTTCTTCAACTGGTCTTTGTTGAAACCTTCGATAGAGACATTCTTGACGAGTTTGCAGGGTTCCTCTAGCTGAGCATGCTCTGCCGAGTCAGCTTGATTCTCAAAGACTCTGCCGCAACGTAAGCAGTTGGGCTTTTGTTCATGGAGTCTGTATAGATGCTCTCTAAAGCCAGGACCACCGATCATTAGTCTCGGAGAGCTTCTAATTGCAGACTGAAACTTACTTCAGTCTGTGAGTGGAGGGGAAGTAGCGAGTGCACGACAGAGTTTCTCCGTAAACCGCCGGATTGAACTTGAGGTATGGACAAGCTAACTTAATTCCCTTGGAATGCGATGCTGTTGGTGTTCTGGTCGGGTCAGGATACGACAGCCCAGAGAAGCGAGTATCTCTGGATGCCCTCGGCGTCTGGTAAAGATCATCCCTCGTTCGTATGTGTTCCTTGCCAATCTCATCGAGTGATTCACGTGGCTTGATGTTGGCGTTGCTATCTCTTGAAAGCCCGGGCGATTTTGTGAGCTGACTCGACTCGTCCTGTGTAGAGCCCGTATTTCTCTCGGGCCCTCGGGGTTTGATTTGCGTTTCTTCTGCGCCTCGTTCGCGGCTGAGCATACCAATGATTCGATCCGGAATGGCAGAACTCTTGTCACGGCGAGACGTAGCCGTATTTTTGGGCCTGCCGTAAGGAACAGGCACGAACTTGGTTCCATCGTTGTTCGGAGAGAAGCCAGATCTCTCTCTGCTCAATGCATAATTCCTAGGCTGTTCCGGAATCACCGCGAATGTCTTGGACCTTTTCGATTCGCCGAGTGTCATTTGTTCAAGCTGTTCTGAAAGCGTGGCTGCGTTGTAGACTCCGAGATCATGTTGCTGATGGCTGTGCTTATTCGTTATAGAGACGGAAGCTTCCGTTTCAAGTTTGACTGAAGCATCGCATTCTCCTCTTGTTCCTCCTGATTCCCCACCTCCTCTCCATCCCTCATTCTCGTCATTTTCATCATCTTCATCATCTTCATCATCTTCATCATCTTCATCATCTTCATCATCTTCATCATCTTCATCATCTTCATCATCTTCATCATCTTCATCTTCTTCATCATCTTCATCTTCTTCATCATCTTCATCATCTCCAAGAATACACAAGACCCAACCCGTGCCGCTTGTCCAAATCAGGTCGTCGATAGACGGGATCAAGAGACCGAAATCGTAGCCCTCCTCAGCACCTGGCTCGACCGTCGGGCGGGATCTGACCCATGCCGATTCTTCCTCATCAACTGTGCAATGGTCGTCGGGGACGCATTCAGCAAGACTCTGAGTTGGAGTAGACATGTTGCCTGAACTGTATTCACGGGTTGATCAGGCTCGATAGCCCCTATAAAGATGACAAAGTTTGACACAACAACTAGATTGTATTCATAATAGATAGAATTGGTTTCGGGGCGTACAGGCTCTTATCCGGGACGCAGAATGCCAAAACGTTGTTTTGCGAAATTTCGCAAATCTCTTTCGCTGCACAAGGCATGCTCGATCATTGCTGCCCAATAGTTGGCTATCGCGGTGTCGAAGGCCGGGGAATGCTGTCCGCTAGTTGGACGAGATGCAGCAAGCAACGTCAGTTATGCATGTGCTTGATATGTACGTCTACGTCATGCCAATGCTGCCGGTCCATAGTAGTCACATACCTGTAATCTTTGCAATTCTCAAGAGACATGAATGCTTTGGGGGAATTGAGTCAGCTTTCTATCAAGAATTCTCACATATAGTTAGAAATCAAGTTTCAGGGGCAGCATGGACTCCTTGCCATCGATTGTTTGATGATTATTTAGCCTTCCTAAGATGTGTAGTCCTGGCCTACAACGTGTTGAACCCGCGCCGGAATAGTATCAACTCCATCACGAGCTTTCATAGGCTCGACCCCAAATGTCTTGTCTTGAGCTTGGGCGAGGCCTCCTGCGAAAGTAATGCTAGTACCCAGTAAGTCGTCCAACCACGAGTCTCCATTGTCATCGACAAATGCCGCATCCCAGACCGGCCAGCAAGCAACATCCGATTCCATGTCGACACGAACGGCTTGAGAATACAACGGCATGCTGCGGGGCTCAGTTGCTTCAGCCGACGGCAAGGAACTCAAAGCCATCACCGGATCGATCGGCGGAACTAGGGTTTGCGCTTCATGAGAAGCATACACCTCGTGTTGCTTCACTTCCAACTTCTCGTCCAGTTTGTCATCAGCATTCGTATGCTGTAGCCTCTCACTCGGAGGTCCAGCGGACCGCGCATTTCCGTAGGACTTTGAAGTCTGACTAGACTTTGAGGTGAGTGTAAATTCCTTGTCCTTGACGTCTCCCTCCTTGGACTGGCGGAGCATCTTGACGGCGAATCCCCTGAACACGTTCAAAAGCTTCCCCCGCTCCTGCTTAGTCAAATGCCCACCAACAGCTTCCTCCATCTTCAAGGACATCTCCTCTTCCACCAGTGATGGAAGATCCTTGGTGAAAATGCTTTCGGCATCGTCTTGCTCCTTTTCTTGGGCCTGGTCTACGGCGGTTTGATCGTTGACGGGCATCTTGTAGACTATAGCCAGTGTCAGCCACTTATTATACCACAACCACGAGCATTTCAGGGGGGTCTCGAAGGACTTACAAGGACCCGGTACATCTTTTTGATCAGGGAAGAGGATCTTGAAAATCTCCTCCCACTTATCCTCTTCCGTATCAACTCCCTTTCTACGCTTTTTACTTCTGAGAAGTTTCTCCTGAGCGGCATCAAATCCCTCAACATCGCCTTCGTCTTGAACAACTTTGCACAGAGACTGAGCTTGCAGGTGGTCTATGACTTCGAGTTCCGTTTTGAAGATACCACGGCAGCGTGGACAATTAGGTTTCTGCCTATGGGTCCTATGTAGGTGCTCCCTAACAACAAGCATGCTTCAGCCAGATCATCCTATAGCCAACATGTAGGGGATGAGGATCACTTACTTTAAACGGCTCGTGTTAGGAAACGCCGCCCCACGGCAGCCCCTTCTTTGGCTATACCTCAATGGATCGTGCTTGATATACGGGCAAGCCAGCAATGCGCGTTTAGCAGATTGTGTCAAAGAGCTGGCCTCATTCGTCGTTCCGATGGCCTCTCGATCTATCCAACTCTCTTGCGGTTTCCAGGTATCCGGAATCGAGGCCGCGAGTGACGTAGACTGTACGTCGGCCTCGGGGTAGGGGCGTACGTCGATGCTTTCGACTTTGGATTTTGTCGTTCCCGGCTCCGCTATGACGGCCTCATCCGGGGAGCTACTCGTCACCTTGGTATTAGATCCCGGATCTTCATGTGAAGTGCCAGGTACTGGAACAGAACTGTCTTGAAGGCCATTGCCTTGGCTGTCTTGAGAAGGACCCGAAGTTGAGGCCTGCTGTATGGGCTGTTGAGACAAGTTCGCTGCAGGCGTTGGAGGAGCCCCTCCGCCGCTACTACCACCAAATTCCCCCGAAACATGGCTTGAACCCCCGCGACGTACTGCTGAACTTTTATGGTGCGAATAGTGGTCATATCCCAACACTATGGAGTGGCTACGTCGAGGTACGCTATAACTGACATTCCGCAAAGTCGCGGCCAAAGTCGCGGCATACCGCTTCCGGTCCTCATAGGAATCAAACTCCTCAGTCACATCGGTGTAGGAACGGCTCGACTGGTGATGTAAGTCTTGGGGCAAATTATAAGTCGCGGTTGACTCGGACTGCTCGTCAATGCCTAGGTTCGAGAACTGTCGTGTCAAGGCCGCCGTAGGATTGAAGTCCAGCCCGCTGGCATTTATCTTGCGTCCCAACATGGGGAATTTTCGATAATGGTGCTGTGAATATTGTAGCTTCAACCAAAAGCAGATCCCAAAGCTTCTCGAGTCGAGTCCAAAGGCAGGGTGGCTTTGCTTAAATGGCACCAGCAGAATATCGCAACTTCGCAATTCCTACTCTACGCATTAGCCATACCAAGACAGTATCTCTGCTCACTGGGTACGTCATTGGTAGATGGAGACATGGTTGGGCGGTTACCTCATGTGACGTAGTTTCCGCACACTTGCTTGAGGCCAATCATAAAGCAACCTGGCTGGCTGGCTCAGCTCAACCCAGTCCCGGTCAGTAGTGGCCATTGAAAAAAGCAAACATACAATATCGGTAATGCCTGTAAAGTTGAGCGCGAACCTGGGATGTTGGACCTGACAACGGACCCAGAAGACTCTAGTCTAGACATTTGATGTTCTAATCTCAGTCCAATCCCGAAGGCAGAGCGATCCGACGACAGCGAACCAACAAACTCTATCTGTCTGAGCTCGGTCATGGCATGGACACAGATCTAAGGTGATTTGGTATTTTATAGATCTTATGACGAGAAAAGCGTAACCGATTAGATTGTCGCTCTCGCTGGGCACTCACACATAGCAGCGCGCCCTCCTTCGTCAAATGGAGACGAATGCGCCTGCACGTGCGGGTCAGGGCAAAAAGCCCATGGGTTACATCTCGAATGCAGCTCTGAGGAAATGAGGCGAGGGCCAGCCTGCCGCAGCCAGCAAAACATGGGAACTCACCAATCTCGCTCTCGAGAATGGAACAGTGTCTGACCCCGCAAAGAGCCTCAAACTCGTCCCTCCAGTTGTTTAATAGATGATGCACACGACAACGGCATTACATACCGGACAATGGGAGACATGGATCCAGGGCTCTGAGATTCATTGCTTACCCTCATTAAATGGAGCCGGAGTTGCTATAGTAAACCCACGGCGTGAGCCGGTCTGCAATGTCAACAGTCAGCTCGTTGGCTACCCAGCATTCGGAAATTTCTCATCCCCGTTCAGCATTAGTACTATATTCCATCCACAATACACCTCAAGAAGTACAACTAAGCAGTATTCATGCTGTAGTGACGACACGGGTGAAATAAAGCCCAAGACCCTGCAACTCGTCTACGTGCTCTGTATCCCACGTTCCGAATACAGAAAATTCCTCGGCCAGATGGGAGTTGGACAACTCTACAATCGAAACACTTAGATTGCTTAGTCTTTGCCATCAGTTTCGTGGTTTAAATACCTAGATATGAGCTACGAAGGTCTACGAATAATGGCGAAGATCTGCTCCAGCGCTCCAGCGAGGCGTAGGAACAAGCATGAACCGAGCTTCCGCATTCTATCCCTGACAATCTTTGCTGAGATTTGACTTATCAGACAGTTCACCAAGACGCAAAAGTATCGATATCTACCTGAAGAGTAAAAGCTCCAAAAAGAAGCATAATTGAACTTGGGCATGGGAGACTCGACACTTGGAACATCCAACTTTTCCCAACGTCAAGAAGGGCTCTGCCATCACAACCGAACACACTCCCAATCAAGGGATACCAGAGTTCGAGCGCGTAAATGTGCGTCTCGCCCGGTCATGAGCATGTGAGCTAACCCACAGCCTGATCTCAGGAATGCACATCATTCAAAAGCAGGCAAGGCGAGGCCTGAGTTTTCGCCCGGCATGCCCCGCCATCACCCCGCCACCGACCTTCACGCACCCAAAATTACATCTCATCCAGCGGTAGCCGGTCACGCAGCATCCAGCCAACTACCGGCACGTCACGATACTTTCGCATTACAGAACAAGTATCCTAGCTAAGTACGCGCATAGTACGTGGCCGCACGTACTCGATGCAAATGAATTATCTCCTACAAAAGTCTTTTCTACAAATACAGGGCTCCTCCTCCCCCGTTCCCTTGCCCCCAACGCCATGAGAGCTCTGCACCACACTTTGCTCATGCCTCCGTGTCGAATTCCACTTCTTCTTTCCTCTCAAGTCTGGAGCCTTTCGTGTGGAATCTTTGCCGCTGAGCGTGGCTGGGTGCGACTTCTGGTCTGACTGAGGACGAAACGGTTTATTCACTCGAAGAAGTCTTTGGGCGGAGAGTCGGGGAGAAAAAAAAATCATGATTGATTGCCGCCAAAACGGAGAAAAAAGAAGTATGCCATGCCATGCCATGCTGACCCTTTCATGCCCGACCGTCCGTCGCCGTGTCAAACCTCTCAAAATTGTTTCTTTTTTTTTGTCGCAAAGGTCTCCGAAAAAAGGTGTGATGCCAAACAGAAAAATTAGTCGTCAAGTCGCGCTTGAGAAACTCCAACAATGTCTAGACGGACAGTCCGTATCTGCCACAGGTGCGTTCTTCTAGTTCTGTGCCAACGATGAGGGACGAATCAGGCCATATTGCGAAACGCCCGTGAAGTCTGCCTGGCCGATAGGCTCCTATGACGCGTGAATCGTCAAAGTCGCCTCGAGGTCGTATGTTCGTGCAGAAGAATTATGTATGCTTGTTCAGTGCCACCATTGGCAAGGATGTAATGTGTGCTCGCAAGAGGCGATAGTCTTGCAAGAGTGAATTTAGTGCGAGAGAACGGGATGATACCGTGCCATTGAGTAGAGCGCAAGTGGTAAAACGGGCTCTGGCGCCCTTATTTTCTTCAGGGACGATGTGAGTCGCGTAAGCACTTCGAGGATCGAGGCTTTTTGAGAGCTTAGTGCTTTCGAGCCGGAGAATACTAGTGTCGGCCCACTTGACTGTTGCTGGCGCGGCTGCGCTCATCCTCTTCCATGACATCGCTCAGGCGGGTCGGATGATGATGCCTTGGGACAGTCTCCCAACCTGGAGCAGCATAGCCCGAGCCGGAATAGTCTTGGGCTGTTCCCTGCTGCTGTTCTCCAGCAGACGTGGTGGGGGTCTGCAGGTAACCGGCACTGGGAGGGTTCGTCGCTGGGGTTTCATACTCTTCTATACCTTCGTCAGAAACTGGGGAAGGTGGAGCAATGAAGGGAACCTTATTTCCCTGGGAATCGCGAACGAAGTGGCCTTGCGCATCGATAGTGTACTCACCTTCAGAGTATCCACCCTCGGAACCAGCACCCGTGTAGGTAACGCCTTCCTGACCTGGATCGCCGGATGGATAGAGGTTGCTGGACGTGGCGGGAATGGATTGACCACCAGGGGCTTGAGAATAATCGCCAGCGTAGCCGGCCTGCTGGCCGCCGTATTGCTCACGGGAGCTGCCATGGCGACTGGGAACACCCTGCGTCATCGGGACGACCTGGACGCCGCCGAGGATGGTAGGCTGACCGCTCTGCAGAGACTGGGTCCTTTCGCGTTCTTCATGTTCGCGGCGACCAAGCTCCTCCCAAGCGCGGCGGGCCTCTTCTTTGGAGATCTGGAGCTCCTTCTTCATCTCCCTGACGCGTTCATCGTTGGCGGAGTGCTGACGCTCCTTCTGGATAGCTGCCTGAACAGCATTCTCTCTAGCACGTCTCTCCTCGTCAAGGGCCGACTCTAACATGGCGTTGACCTCCTGAGCACGCTCCAGCTCAGCCCGGGTCTCGAAGAACCATCGCTGGAACTTGCGTTCAGAACTAGCGCGGAGGCGCTGCAACTCGACGACGGCGTGGAAAAGGTTGGCACCGGCCGCAGTAAGATCGGTGACCTGGCGAGAGAGCGCTTGGTTGACAGGATCACGCTCAATGTCCTGGTTGTTCTGTTCAAGTCGTCGAATCCAGAAGCTGGTGAGACCCTCCCAATGAGCCGATAAGGTTTCCCAACGCTCAAACGCGTGGGGAAATGAGTTTCTGGGTCTCGATCCCGTAGCGCCAGACTCCTGGGCTCCTTGAACAGAGGTGTTAGCAGGCTGTTGAGTGGTGCTGGCCTGAGGGGCTGTGCTGTAGGGTTGCTGGCCGGGCTGAGACGTCGACGCCGTTCGACCGTGTCGAGTCTGCGGCTGAGTCGTTGTGGGCTGGCGTGAACTTCCTCCCGGGTTGGTTCGGGTTTGTGGGGTATCGGTAGCTACGGGTCGCCGGTGAGAGGTGGGGTCCTGCTGGGGCACGTTGGCGGCGCCACCAGCTGTTCCTCCTCCGGCAGCGCCAGTAGCGGCGGTGGCAGCTCGGCGCTCCGCATTCCGTCTCTGCGTCTCCTCCAATAGGCGAGCTTCCTGCTCGGCTCGCTGTCTCTCCAACTGCATCTGTTCCTGTTCGGCTCTCTGACGGGCTGCCTCTCTAGCAGCGCGCTCCTGCATGATCATTCTAGGACCACGAATTCCAGAAGGCGAGCTGGTAGGGTTAGGGGCGCCAGTGGTGCGCTGGCGAGTGGAAGCCGAGGCATTACCGTTGGAAGCGGCAGTGCCGCCTCCGATCAGGTCAGCCATTGATGCGCCTTCTTCTATCTCGTCGGGCGTGAACAGGTTAGGTTGCCGAAGCGCCTCCTCAAGAGCGAAGAGGATGGCACTGCGAGTGTTTCTGGAAACGCGATGAGGTCGGTGAGACTCGCGTCGGGTATGAGAAGACGATGATGTTGGGTCTCGGAATAACAGAGCTTCGTCGGAGGACTCTTCGTCAAAGTCCTCGCTCAGATCCTGTGAGAGAACTCTTCGCGCACGTGAATTTCGTCGATCGAGGGGAGCGACGGTTCGAGGGTAATCGTAATTAAAAGTCGGGGCAGGCGCAAGTGCTGGCGTGGGCGCAGGCGCAGGCGCGGTCGCAACCTGTGGTTTGGGACTGAAACCTACTGATGCGGCCTCAATGTGGACCTGGCGGGCAGACTGCGGTGTAGGACTTGGGGTCGCAACGGATCGCGAAGTACGTCGAAGGGTGCGGTGGGAGAGTTGGGACGAAGCTGGAGTGGTTGGTCTCTCAGCGACTGGATCTGGGGTAATGTTTCGCGCTTGCCTCCGCTGCTGCTGGCGCTGCGCAGAAGGGGTCGTGATTTCGTGAATTTCGTGACGGTCGTTAGAAGGCGTGGGGGGAGTTTGGTCTGTCAACTTGACA